CTATGCTGGCAACGATCCAATACAATCCAGCGTCGCGTATCTGGACTCATACTACGGATTTGGGCCGTATGCCTTTGAGCTAGTCAAAGGCTACGACTGCCCGGTCTATGCAACCTACCTCAACAGCTCCTTCTACGTCTCCGAGACAACGCACACACACATTGACAGTCTCTGTGTGTTTGAATACGATGCAGACTACCCCATCCAGCGCCACAGCACGTCCGACTACGTGAGCAGTACGAAGAACGTGTACCTCACCCTCCGATCCGTGTCCACGATTGGCAACTACGACTATATGACCAGGTGAGTCAAGCCCACAACACGCATGAACCACCCCCCTCATTGACTGTACCTCTAGCTACACCTTCCACATGGATGGCACGATTGGCGTCGAAGTGCGCGCCTCCGGCTACATCCAAGCCGCCTACTACGCGCACAATGAAGACTTCGGCTACCGCATCCACGATGCGTTGTCCGGCAGCATGCACGACCACGTCCTCAACTTCAAGGCCGACTTCGACATCCTGGGCGTGAACAACAGCATCGAGCTCACCACGGTCGCCCCGGTCACGCGCAACTTCCCCTGGTCCGCCGGCCGCTCGCGCAACACCATGGCCCTGGAGCGGTCGATTCTCCCGTCCGAAGACGAAGGCCGCTTCAACTGGGGGCCCAACGGGGCGACGATGATCCACGTGATCAACCAGGACGCCCGCAACCAGTACGGCGAGTATCGGGGCTACCGCGTGCTGCCGGCGGCGGGGACGGCGCACCTGACCGTCCAGGACTCCAGCAACCTGGCGCACGCCGCGCACTGGGCCGAGTACGACATCCAGGTCACGCGGCAGCACGACCACGAGCCGCGCGCCGCGCACGCCTACAACAGCCAGGACATCCACGACCCGCCCGTCAACTTCGCCGAGTTCTTCGACGGCGAGTCGCTGAACCAGACCGATCTGGTCGTGTGGCTGAACCTGGGGATGCACCACGTCCCGCACACGGGCGACCTGCCCAACACGGTGTTCACGACGGCGCACTCGGGCGTGCAGTTCACGCCGCTGAATTATCTGCTGGGGGACCCGAGCCGGCAGACGGTGAACATGGTGCGGGTCAACTATGCGAATGGGTCGGCGACGGAGGTGAAGACGTTCGGGCAGGAGGAGGAGGTCTGTTCGGTGCAGCTTACTGGCATTGGGGAGGAGCTGTGGCGGTATCAGGGGGATGTGGTGGTGCGCAAGTTTCCGTACGACCCGAATGATCCGTACTATGAGATGGAGGCGGACGCATGATGCATTTGTAGATCTTTGGGGTTAGAGTCACATGCTGGCGGAGATCCTGTTCAAGATCAATCTCTTGCCATTGCATCCTTACCTACTGTTAAAGCGACACTCGCTTATCGCGGCCATGTTCATGCTAGCGCAACGATCGCATGGGCGAATCGGCCGAGGTCTATGAAAGGTACATACGACTGGACATTCCCACAGACCCAAGTCCAAATCTCCATTCCTATGGACCAATTACAAAACAAGACCGAAGTACAGAGTACATAGGCCGATGTCATGGTGTGGTGTGCAGGTGCGGGGAAATAAATCACCACCTACTAGTATCCATGATGGATTTCCGGAGAGAGCGAGGGATCTGTTTCTGTCTCCGGCCACCGGTCTTGATCCCCCTCGACCCCATGAAATCAATTTGTAGAATCTTGAACCATACCACGTTCCTTCTACTCAAACAGAAATACTTACGTTCCAGACAACCACCTCGACCACCAAACATCCACCACACCGGATTCATCAAAGAAGTGGGGATCACTTCACGCCCCGAAAGATCCAGTACTTTTAACCCTGCACTAGCCGCGGGAATTTCCACTCCTCTCCTCAGGTGTCGCATCTCGCCCATCCTCGGAGAAGGGTGGAAGGTTAATTTGTAAGCTGATGTAGTTAATCAACTTAGATCCCTGATCTGCTTTCCAACCACATCGCAGTGGAACTGAAACAATGTCCAGTACCGTATTCTAGCTGAGTAGCTGAAGCCAGTGCGGGGTTTCTGGCCCTCCCAATTTTAGCCGAAGTGACGGGACAGCGAAGAACAGGGATCCTTTAAACCCCGTAGCCAGTCGAAATTCAAACACTCTTTCAAGATCGCCACATAAGCAAAGAGGGGGAGGCGTTGCTTCATATTTGCTTTTTGCGTTTGCGTTTGCGTTTGCTTGTCCTTCTTTCTCCGAATGTGACGATTGACAGGGCAGGCAGGGGTGGGGAGAGTGGCCGTATATAAGATAAGGCATAAGCATCCAGCCGAGCTTACCTGCCCACATACGGTGCATGTACATACCTAGCCAACTGAACCCCCCCCCAAGAGAGCGAAGCCTACCCAAACCGAAAAAACCCCCCATCACCATGCCCCAAGACCGAGCCCAAGACCCCCACCCGCCCCAAGACACCGACCTCGACCTCGACGCCCTCGTCGTCGGCACAGGCTTCGCCGGCATCTACGCCCTGCACGCCCTCCTCCAAGACGGGCTGCGCGTGGCGGCGATCGACAAGGCGGGCGACGTCGGCGGCACCTGGTACTGGAACCGGTACCCGGGGGCGCTGAGCGACACGTGGAGCTATCTGTACCGGTACAGCTTCGACGAGGCGCTGCTGCACGCCTACCCGGCGCCGAACCGGTACTCGACGCAGCCGGAGGTGTTGGCGTACCTGCGGCATGTGGTGGCGCGGTACGATCTGCGGCGGCACATGCGGTTCGAGACGGCGATGGAGGGGGCGGAGTGGGACGATGCTGCCAAGAGGTGGAGGGTGAGGTGTCGAGGCATCGGGACGAAGCAAGGTGACAGGGGGGGGGAGGAGGAGGAGGAAGAGGGAAAGGTGAACTACACCTACACGGTGCGGTATCTCGTGACGGCGCTGGGGCTGCTGACCGAGCCCGTCCTGCCGGACATCCCCGGGCTGAAGGAGGGAACCTTCCAGGGCCAGGTCGTGCACACCGCGGCCTGGGACCCGGCCGTCTCGCTGGCGGGGAAGCGCGTGGGCGTGATCGGGGTCGGCTCGTCCGGGGTGCAAGTGGTGACGGCGATCGCGGACCGGGTGGCCTCGCTGCACGTCTTCATCCGGCGGGCGCAGTACAGCGTGCCGGCCAACGACCGGCCGGTGAGCGCGGCGGAGCGCGCGGCCATCAACGCGGCGTACCCGGCGCTGTGGGCCGAGGTGCGTGCCTCGCACCTGGGGATGGGGTTCGCGGAGTCGTCGCGCCGCTTCATGGCCGTGAGCCCGGCGGACCGCGAGCGGATCCTCGAGGCGTCGTGGCGCGAGGGCAACGGGCTGCAGCTCCTGTTCGGCGGGTTCAGCGACCTGACCACCGACGCGGCCGCCAACGAGGAGGTGTGTCGGTTCCTGCGCCGCAAGATCCGCGCGGCGGTGCACGACCCGCGCAAGGCCGCCGTGCTGCTGCCCCGCGAGCCCTTCGCGCGCCGCCCGCTCAGCGACGCCGGGTACTACGAGACGTTCAACCGCGACCACGTGCACGCCGTGGACGTGATGGCGCATCCAATTACACAAATCGAGGCAAAGGGCCTCCGCACCGCGGACGGCACGCTCTACGAGCTGGACACCCTCGTCGTCGCGACGGGCTTCGACGCCCTGGACGGCAGCTACGCGCGCGTCGAGATCCGCGGCCGCGACCCGGCCGAGGACCTCAAGGAGCGGTGGCGGCGCACCGGGTCCGAGTGCTATCTCGGCTGCGCCGTGTCCGGCTTCCCCAACCTGCTGATCGTCTCCGGGCCCATGGCCGCGTTCGCGAACGTGCCGCCGCTCACCGAGACCAACGTGGACTTCCTGCGGGATCTGATCCGCCGTGCCGAGGAGATCACCCGGCAGAGCGGGAAACAGTGCGAGATTGAGGCCACGCATGAGGCCGAGAGGTGGTGGACGGACCATTGCGATCTCACCGCGCGCAAGACCCTCTTCGCCCAGACGCCCTCGTGGATGTTCGGGGCCAATGTCCCGGGGAAACGGCCGGCCAGTCGGTTGTATTTCGGTGGGCTGGGCCCGTTTCGCGCGAAGTTGGCCGAGATCAAGGCGAGGGGGTTCCTGGGGTTTGAGGAGCCGTTGGGGACCGGGGGCACGTTGCGGTCGCATCTTTAGTGGTGGTGGTGGTGGTGGTGGTCGTCGTCGTCGTGATCGGGCATAGAATCGGGATAGAGCCTTGCTTACAGCTCAGAACGTGTTCGCAAGTATATCGACATGAACGTTTCAAACCACTTCAAAGGCTAATGCCTAACAACTATCTACCTATCCAAGTGGGAGATAAGGCAGACTTCAGCCATCCTACCCTCCCCTGCCGTCTGCATTGACAGTCTATAACCACCCAGAAACCCTAAGTAGATATCCTCAATCTCCAGAGCAGACCATCCTCTTTCTGCTGGCAGAGACGATTTGTTTTTCAAGGTCTTCCGGTTGTGTGCTGGAGATTTGAGGTATGTTTCATGTAGTGATAGCAAGGAGTGAGCAGCGAGTGGATATTTGCCTTGGGAGTGTCCCTCGCTGCACTGAGTAGGGTTTCTTTCCTGAAGCACTTGCGGAGCAGAGTAAAATGACAATACTGGGCATTGTGGTTCTGCTTAGGACTTCCGATCAAGATAGCATCGAGACTTGATCTCATCAGCACTACTAAGAACTTGACTTGTCTTGAAGAGTTGTGATTGGATTAATGATTCTAGAATATCTAGATACAGTATCATGAATATCATTCCTGCCCCAGTAGGCTACCCACTGAGGCCTGAGGCTCTCATAACCATTGCAGTACATGCTATCTATCGATGCATCAGATCTGCGCTTGGAATTAGCTGTAAATGCTGTAATGCACGGCAGTGTATAAAGCAGAGAATGAGAAAAACATCGGTGTAAATCTCTCATCTGAGTGTCTTGTGCTCGTCGACATGTAGTCTTGAGATTCTTATTTGCGGAATGGATGCAGAATGGATCCACGGCCTCGTGTCACCGTTTCGTATAGACATATGTTGGTGTCGAAGTGAAAATTCAAGACGGGTGGTTGCACGGTCATCATTGTGCAGTCACGCTGACCACATGTCTAACTGCGCTTCGAACCGGTCGGATCCTCATAAACAATCCGAGGAACCACATTGAAGTCAGGCAAGCCCGGGACAACCTCCGGTTCGTCAACCTCCTCCTCATCCTCCTTGGTATCAGCAGGCGCCGAGCTGTCGCTAGACTCGGTCAATTCGAGGGCCGGAGAAGGCGTCCCGCCGGCCTCGTCTTCCACGTGAACCACCGTCGGTTCGTCGTCCGATCCACTTCCGTCCACCGAGTTCTCCAGACTTCCCGAACTAGGGCTCGGGGTCGCAGCCTCCACCAGCCCGTTCAACGACAGCGACTCATCGTGACTGACGCTGCTCCGCTCCGAGGTCGACAGCGAGCTGCGCGAGTTCGTGTACGACTGAGGCAGCCCCAGCGCGGCCGCCACCGCCGCCTCCTCGTCGGGCAGCTTCGACACACTGCTGTCGCGACTGGTGCTGCGGTCGAAGATATGGCTCCCGCGCCGCTCGCTCATCTCCAGGATGTTGTTGTACCCGCGGCGGGTGGGGTCGGCCAGGCGCTTCTTCTTCTTTTTCTCGCGCTTCGTCGACGGCCGGACCACGATCACGGGAATCGGCGACTGCTGCAGGCAGTACTTGGAGACCGAGCCGGGCAGCAACCCCTGCACACCCCCCAGATTGCGACCCCGGGTGCCCACGATGAGCACGGCCGGCTCGTAGATCCGGATCATGCGTTGGATGATCTCCTGGACCTTGCCCACCGCCAGCTCCAGCACCAGGCTGATGGCCTTCTCGTTCTGGCTGTTCTTCTGGATCACCTGCTCAAACAGCTTCTCCGCCTCCTTCCGGTATTTCCCCGCTTCCACGGCGGCGTCGCTGGCGATGCTCGAGTCCTTCTCGACCGCACGGAGGCAGACGATTTCATCGCCGTCGTCGACGAGCTCGTCGATGAGCCATTCCAGCGCGAAGTCGGAGTAATCGTTCTGGTCGGTCCCGCATAAGAACGTTCGACTGCGACGGGTGGACTGATAGCCTTTGTGTTTGTAGTTGAGGGTTAAGGAGAAGTCGGCCGCATCCGGGTTATCGAAGGTGTCAAACGACACACCTCGCTCGTAGGTCCTGATATTACATTAGCTAACAAAGATCGTGTAGACACGGACAAAAAGAATGGTCTTACTGAGGCGGTGGAGGGGACGGCCCACGACTGGGCGAAGGCTTGATTTCCCGTTCTGTGGAGGTGACGTCGAGCTGCGGGCGCGGTCGGTGACCTGCAGCGCTGACGGATCGACGATGCGGCAGCGGCTCCGTGCCGCCAACGTTGAACTGAATTGACTTTCTCTGGGAACTCTCAGCTCTGTGTGAAGATCGAGGCTTGCTTGTACCAGCGGCTTGGGTAGCGCCGCCCTCGGGGGATTGCGACGACGGGGAGGGCATGCTGGCGGTTGTAGTGGGAGGGACGGCGAAGGGAAGGTGTTAGACGACTCAGCGCCTTGTAGTGGTCGGAATTTCGAGTGAGTAGAAAGGAAAGGAACAATTTGATTCAAAGTCAATAACTAGTCGGTGGCTCAGCCACCGTGAAGCTCAGCAAGTTCGGCGAGTGGTACGATGCGGGAGATGCCGACCATGGTTTGGTAAGAGAGGTCGTGACGAAGGGGGAAACTCCCGAGCAAGTGTCTGAGACCGGCACGCTCGAGGATGAGAGGATGAGAGGATGAGAGGATGAGAGAATGAGATGGACCAAAGCGGGTCTCAGGGCTAGCTTGAAGCTACAGTGAGTGACTCTGCAGAAAAGCAAAGCGCCGGATTGAATTAAAGTAGAGTGACAGGCAGCAAGCCGGAAGCAGCTGGAGGGGGAAAGGGACGAAAGGCGAGAGTGGAATAGGAGCTGAGGAGGCGGGGCAGATGGAAGGCGGTCAGGAGGAGCATGGCCGGCGGGTCACGTTTCCCTGCTGTCATTCCCTGCCCAGTCATGAGTGAGTGAGTGAACATGCGGAACAAAACTCCTGCCACGCGGAGACTTCAACTTCACATTTAGCAATTCCCCGGTCAACGCCCAGTGACAGACCACCACAATGGTCATCTTCTCTCGCTCTCCATGACTAAAGGAGCAAAAGAGCCGAGTTGGAGAAGTAGGAGGGGCATAGCTAGTCCAATCCAAGTCAAACCAAGTATATCTTTCCGGTCCATGTAAGCGCAACAAGTTGTTACCCTCAGCTTGGCCAGCCGGTCTGGAACATATAGTGCCAGCGGAGACTACGGTGCGCCATTGCGGCCTGAATCCAGACTCAGTATGTTTTGGCAGGATTTTTTTTTTTTTTTTACGAAAGAACGACTCGAATGAGGGCCTAGATGAAGTAGAACCTCCAGTTCGACCAACTCTAATAGTTCCAATGGCAGCAAAACCGGATCTAAAGACGGTGAGGGATTACTCGGCCTTGACTTGATCCATCGATCGTTTTTCTAGCAAAGCAAGGAAGAAGATCAATCAGATTCCGGATTCCAGGAACCCAGACCAGGCGGGTGACAGGGACAGGCGGAAGACGGAAGACGGAATCGAGTCGCTTCAACAGTCAGTCAGTCAGTCAGGGAAAAAGAACCAGAGAGATCGGCGGTGATCCTCCGTGCGGATCGATCGCCCGTCAGCCATGTGATCCGTCACGGGGCGGTGAACTCGGCCTGGATTGGCGAGGGCCGCGATCGGCACTGCCATCCCGGTCTAGCCAGCAGCCAGCTGCCCAACTAGCCTCCCGGATGGGGCTAAGAAGCGGAGTCAAGTCTTCTTCTGCACCTGCGACTAGTCTAGCGATTTAGTGAGTACTAAGTCAGTTTACTGATCACTTCATGATCGCTTTGCCAATGCTTGACACATCAAAGCAATGATTACCGACCGGCCAAGGATGAGTACGAGAATTTAGATTGAAGGAGTTCATGTATAATGTTGATATGATTATGTTCTATATATGCAATTTCATCATCTCGTCTCATATACCGGAGAGGCCACCGTTATAGATCATGTCGTGGAATACATAAACAAGAAAAATGGGGCCGCCAATATATGCGGCCCAACGGTGGGACCAGGAAGAAGACAGGAGATGGGACCCGAAGATGTGGGCGGGTATGAGAAGAGAGAAATCAATGCCCAAGCGCTCGGGCATGCAAAAACAAAAAAAAGGGGGGACTCCACCCCCAATGCCAATATGCCATCCCAAAACAATGCTGAATCATGATGATAGGAGAGAAGTAATTTTTGGTTTCAGAAAAACGCCGGACCCGCTATGGTGGTGACAACTTGCCCCAAGACAAAAGAAGAAAAAGGTTCTTCCAGAAACAATCCACGACGAGGGTATCACGTATGATAATGGTACAGAGAATGGAGGATCAGCCGCTGCTGCAAGGTACGATCTCAATAAGCTTCAAGCATCGCACTTGGCGCTTGGCCGGGAACGTAGTAGCCATTCTCCAGATCAGTCGGGGAGAGAGGGATTTCCGCGGTTTGCGGCTCCTTCTCGTTGAATGTTTCCAGGGTTGGTTGAGGAGGTGAAGGGGGCATGGTGTCGTCTTCCGACTCTCCATCGGAGTCGGACAGCAGCTCGGGCGGGGTTTGCCGGGACGGCGAGCGGGTTAGGGTCAATTCTTCCAGATCCTCCTCATCGTCGTACTCAAAGTCGGAATCAGAATCGGAGTCGTAATCCTCCTCGATTTCTTTCTCGGTGATGATGGCCACCGGGGAGGGAGCCCGTCGTCGCACTGGACTGTAGGTAGTGGGCTCATACTGGTCTTCGTCGTAGTCGGAGTCATCCTCGCTGACGTCGGAGTCGGCGTCAGAAAGGTCCTCGGGATCCCAGTCCTCCTCCGGGTCCTCAACGACAGTCTCCGCCCATTGGATGTGTCGAGGCTCGGAGTGGTGGGAGGTCTTGGTCACACCGCTGACGGTCTGGTTGAACCAATGTTCTTGTTCACGTTCGGCATCAGCCAGCTCCAGCATGAGCGAGTCGAGGAGGTTGGCGTGGCCAACCAGAAGGCGGAGATCATGGTCCGCCCGGGAAGCTTCACGGGTGAGCTTCTTGCGGGCGGTGTGGGCGAGATAGTAGGTTTGGGTGATGCTCATTTTCTTTTGTTGGCGACGGCGGGCCAGAGAGGTGAAGTAGGAGCTGAGAGACGGAGTGGAGGAGGGAAGAGAAGAGGAAGAGGGAGGGTGGGAGGAGGGAGTAGAAGTAGAAATTGTGGGGGAAGCAGGAGTTGCCATGGCGCAAATCTCCGGGAGGGCCGTGTTGATGTGCTTGCTAAGGATGCTAGTAAGGATCGCCGAACTTAGAGGCTTAGAGGTGACTCGTTCGCTTTGCGCGGCGCGGTGACTCAGGCTGCCTTTCCTCCTTCCGGCAGTCGACCTATCGACCAATCAACCTTATGGCGGATGGCGGGGCGGTGAGTCAAGGGTCGCTGGTATCGCTGGTATCGCTGGTATCGCTGCAGGCGGATCAATAATGGATCGCAGCAGCGCCTTATCTTTCAGTCTAGTGCGTTTGCGACTGATGCAGTGTGCAGACGCAGACAACGGTGAAAGATACTGATGTCTGAGTGTTGTCGAGCTGGTAGGGGTTCCTGGCGTCCCAATGTCTCCACTAACAATCATGCACTTTCAATAGTCACACAGTAGTGGCCGGCGGGGAAAGGTGGTGGATGGATGTGTTGGTGGTGCGGGATGTATGTGTATGTCGTGATGGTTGCGGTCTGAGGTGGACAAGCGAACAGGCGAGGATTATTAGCTATGTGTTGTGATTGAAGAAGAAGAGAAGAAAAAGAACATTTCAAGATGTACCAGGGAGATAGGGATTGTTTATGATATATCCACTTTCTAGGCTGATTCTTTTTTTTTTCTTTTCGGTGCTTGTCATCCGCTATTTCCAATCCCCGTTTCTTACTTCCTTTTTTCCTTTTTTTTTTTTTTTTTACTCATTACTCTGCTCGTACTCCATCTAAAGTCCGAAAGGCGCGATCGGACGCTCGGCGACAGACCATCCGTGGATCGGAAACTCCGTCAAGGAAAGCCGGATCCACCATCGAAATTCTGCCCTGCACCCAAAATCCCTGCCCAAGAGGGCAATTGCTATCTTCACCGCCCATCAACAAGGCCAATAGTTGCCGCAAGCCAGTGACTCACGTCTGGGCGCCGCCTGCTTATTCCCGTTCCGGGCGATCCCAGCTCAGCAGCAGCACCAAGAAAATCCTGATCGGGTTTCCGATGACCAATCTTTCCGCGCCGTGGTCTCCGGCTGAGCAAATGAAAGAGAGAGAGAAAAAAAAAAGGCTCCCAAGCTAGAAAATTCCAGCAGGTGCCCAGCACACCTGCCCTAGCAAGATTACGATTACTCAACGATTGTCTGCATTAGAAATCCTGACTGCAAACACCATCATTATTCATCATCTTCACTCTTTTGGCGTCTTCGCGCGCCAAGTGTCAAATCTTGATATTTCCACGGTTGATGATCAGTCCAGGGCACCCAGCTGGGCTTGAATCCTTTTATTAATGCTCTTATACTCTGTACAAGTAGAGGGCATACAAGATTTGAGGTACACCACCCCCCTCACTGCTAATTGACTCTTTGACCCTTTTGATTCATAATGGAATTGATTCCTAAGCTCCTACCTAACACATTATCTTTTTGGTCCCCTAACATACGAGTACCCAGCCTCACGATAGTAGTTGACCCCTAGTTGGGCTTTTGCGGACGGGATCCGTGACCCGTCACAAATGAGTTCCCCACCCGACTCAAAAATTTTTTCTTCTTCTGCCGGGCGCAGAAAAGGAATCTGAGGTGCGGTACGGAGTAGCCTATCCGAATAGCCTCTTCGATCCCCAATCCCGTTTGTCAGCCTCCCAGGGTTCTCACGATGAGTAATCCCTGATAAATAAAAGCCGAACTGCTATCCAACTCCGTCCGTCCATGCACCCCTGTAACTGTACAGCACCCTTTGGGACATGGTTGCGAGAAGGAGTCATGACCGAAAACGGATAGGTAAGCAAGCCCACGGGCAGTAAGTCTCGCTCGGTCGGGTTTAGAGAATTGTGAGTTGCAAGATGCTGCCCCTGCGGAGTTCAAACAACAGAGCAGCAAGCAGCAACAGCAGCAGCAGCAGCACAGCACAGCACAGCACAGCACAACAATCAATGCAATTCATATGCGAATACGACGGGTCCCCACCCCCCATCGGGATCCCATCTCCTGCCGTAATTCCGTTTCTGTCTGCCTTATTTTGGCCCCTGCCCTAATCACATACTATACTTTGCTCGTATACCCACTATCTAGTTACTCGTGTCTTGCACATAATTTATCAACTATGTGGAGATAAGGCAATCCAAATTCCTTTCCTTTTCATGTCTATTGCCTAACTTATTACTCATACGCATCTACAGTCCGTCCACGTAGGTCATTTCCCACATCCTTATCATTCGTCACAGAGGTCTGTAGGTAGAAAAGGCACCCAATGGAATTCCTCACCGGCTGCCACATGTTAAAAGACCGTCATTCACGCCTTAATCTTTGTTGAAAGGCAAAGACCCCGAGAACCATCATCGCTTAGGCGTCATCCGCCATCACCTTCTTGGCTTTGTGCGGCTCTCTCCCTCTCTCCCCATTCCTGTCTACCTCTCCACAAGCAACCAGCCTATGCTATGCTTGGCAGGTCAAGATCGCCCGCAAGCGAGGTACAGGCACGCCACGCCATCGCGTATTTTTGAGGCGAGACAATTGGGCTTTGCGAATGCGGAGTAGACTGTTCTTGCCTAGGCGGGATAGTGTTGACTAGTACGTACCTTGGGTGAAGGATAGACCGAGCTGGGGCTGGGGCTGGGGCTGGAGCTGGAGTACGTACGACGTGACTCTGGGTAGGGATTGATCGTCCCTTGGGGGCCACTACAGTACGGAGTAACTAGTTATCTCCTCCCTCGACAAAACGTGTCGTCCGCTTGGCAACGACTCAACGACCAAGCCCCTCCGTGTAGGCAGCGAAAAATCCCCCTGATCGATTGCTTACATGGCTGTGCAGGGTCAAAGTTACCTAGCTGGTCGGTTAGTAGTACATAGTAAGTGAGAGGCGGGCCTGAATAACATGTAGCCCGCGCTAAGTGGCTGTCTCGCGTGTATCGTCGGCTGTAGAGGCTATGACCTGAGTCTGACAACGGAAATCGCCGACTACGCGACCTGAGCGGGAATGATAAGGCTCTCTCGTGAAAATTGGTGAGATTGGCGAGGATGATGACACGAAAGGCCATGTGTTGCTGTGGTTATTGGAACTGATTCAATAGTCGATAATCTGATGATCTATCGTCTATCTGAAACTCCCCCCTAGCTGGCACAGCACAGCCCCTCGAAAAGGAAGCGGAGCAAAGTGCGGAGAAAGATAGGCGGACGGATTTCCGAAACTAATCCCACCTTGGCTGCCCATTGGTCATGTGACAGAGGTGCCACCATGTCGGCGTGTCGGAGATAACAGATCTCCATTGGTGTCCACCACAGAACCACAGAAAGGCTATCTTGCCTGGCGAGAGCAGCCTCGATCAGGGCATCTGGAACAACAATGATGCCCATGATGAGGTCAATGACGAGGGGAACTGTAAACAGTCTCCGCCGCGCCGCCCTCCTTCCTCGTCATCATCATTCGCCATCGCCATCATATTGCTGGAGTCCACACGTCCACACATTCTAACGATCATTTGATCATCCATGATCATCGCAGCCCACTGCGGCAGAATGGATTCTTCAGACCATACGCAGAGCAGAGAAAAAGAGTCTGGAGCGGGCAGCAACTCCATTCATAGTGGGGAAATGACATGGCGGGGGGGATGGGGGGGGGGGGGGGGGGGTGCTTGCATAATCGCAAGAAAACGAACGGCAACCTAATTTCACGCTACGAGTATCAACCACCCAAAATGACAAATCGTTCTAGACCAGAACATACCCAAAAACCACAACACCGCACTTAGAAGCTGGCAAAAACCGACGATCGGGATCCCCCCCCAGAACCTTAACTCTCTAATCTAATACCACACATTACCGACCATCGGGACTACTGAGTAGCGGGTTCCAAGCTGCAAACGTCAATCCATCATCACAGTTTCGGGTCTGGACGGATTCAGCAATTGACATCTTACATTTCTACCGGCAGGCTTATCACCACGCGAAGCGAAGGCAAAACAAACATCCCAATAATGACACTCCACATCAACAGGAGCAGATTTGCCTCCCAGCGAACGCCATGCAATACGTCGACGATTTCGTGATCGTCACTGATAAGGACAGGCAGCAGCCCTCTGTAGACTTTGACGTACGGGTTAGTGCTGATTGACCATAGGTAGACGAGACCACTAACATCATCATACCTCACCTCTCCCAAGATTGTTGTCCTACCTCATGAACCGCGATCATCCTGAAGATCCCACCTGAAAGGTCAATACTTTGGGGGGATTGGTGGTCGTACACAAATAAAAAGTTGGGACTTGCTGCGCTGCTGTGTAAGCTGCAAGTCAGTCAGTAAGGTCAGTCCTTGACGTCAACGACCTGACCCTTAGGCCTTCCCCTCCCCCCTCCCCCCTCCCCGGGCTGCTTGACCTCATCTTCGGGATACGGGTGATTACCGTACAGGGGGTGGGCGATCATGATCCGAGATCCGGAGCTACAGTAAGGAGTATCGTAAGTTAGGGTTCTTCAGCAGTCGGTGACTTCATCGCTCTTCTTCATTGCATGTGGTGAATAGCGGGGTGTACACTACAGAGTAGGAGATGGGTAGACGTCAGTCACACGATCCCCTCTTCATCAACACCATCGACAGCAACTCGAATAAAACCACCGGGTGACCTACTGTGTAGCTCACAGGCCACACAAACCAACTGCACATCCAGCATGACCTGAAAGCATCGCATCCGGAGAGATCCGCCTCCCCGCACAGAAGCATAGCCTACACAAAAACAAGCATGAAACATAAGCACAGCACAGCACAGCACAGCACAACTAATGCCCCCCAAAGAACGGAGCCAATGTCAAACCGCGGAACAAACTCGGCCTTCTCGCTCTCCGACCTTCCGCCCACCCCACACCCTTTCAAAAGTGGCCCTAGCTCGGCCTTAGGTAGGTATCGAGAAAACAGTGAACCCCTAAAAATTCACGGAACCGCGCAAATCCGTAAACCCCGTCTAGCCTAACTAGCACTAACTTACTACGTACCGTATTCATATCTAGCCAACTTGGGGGGGGGGGGGGCCAAGTAGGCTACCCGTTGTACCCGTGCGTGCCGGATTCCGGAACATCAGCCTTCCTCACCTCGCTATCCACACCCACACATCTGCATCTGCATCCTGCCCCCCGATTCTCATGTGAGGGCTATCAACGGATACACGGATACACGGATGAGAAAGGAGGGTCTTGGCGTTGGCATGTGGATGTTTCATATGGTACAGTATACCCACCACACTGCCCATACTGGAGGAGTACTTTTACCCTGAGGGGGTTTGAGGGCATTGAGGGGATTGATTCTGCCGGTTTTATTCTTGTCAGACTTTATTTCTCCGAATCGCCTATAGCCTAACTTATAAAGTATGAGTCACTGTAAGGTTTTATTCAGGGAGGTACTCCGTAGTTATCTAGTGGATGCTTAAGCTTCTGCGCATTCCTTTTCGAATTTAGTTGAATCAAAGGAATCGTAGACATAGAAGGATATGCACAAGGTACGGTATGCTCCGGTCGGAATTACGCCAGGGGGGGGGAAAGAAGGGACAGGGTGTTTCAGGCCGATTCATTCCCGGTTGGAGTTGAGGGTGTCTGGATCTTGACTCTGTTTCTCAGTGGTAGGAGTAATGAACTAGACTATACTATCCCGTGCTATACTTTACTGACTACAGCTTACTCTGTTGGCTATCGGGCTATCTGACTGCCAAATGCTTGTCTATAAATGCTGCGAGCATGCTACTGCAAATTCAATGTGTGCTGTACTGTACTTTTGTCTGATGCTTTGTCTGTGTATAATTCCAAAGGGGTGTGCTACGGAGCACTTAGCTTATGCATATCTTGTGCTATGGGTGTGTGGAGGAGGGGAGGCCATTGGGTATTTACTGGAGGGTGAAAGCTTACTCGATGCCCTTCCCTGTACGTGGCACGCTGTTGCGGACTGACAGCTGACGATCCGGGGTCCATGCTTGGTCCACTGAATGGGTGGTTGCCTTTGTTCTACGGCTTTTGTTGCAATGGGGTTTGTGCTGGAAGCATGTGACTGTGCTGTACCTTGCTACTGCTGTGCATCTCTACGGAGTGCCTTTTCTTTTCTGCTCTCATTTACTTTACAATCCCCCAATGTACAGTACACACACACACACACACACACACACACACACCACCACCACCATCTCCACTCCGCATAAATTGCAGTCCACTATTAACATTCATGTTCATGTTCATGTTCACATAAAGTTCATATCCACACTACAAAGCCAACCCAACCAACCACAGACCAACCCCTAAATCCCAATGAGAATCAAGCTCAATCCCCCCCACCAAACAAACTCCCCCAATCCTCCCCCTTCTTCCGCATCCAGCGCATCCACCACCACCACGGCTCCGACGCCTCCAGCTCCCCGTCCCCGTGCCCCTCCCCCTCCCCCGAAACCTCACACGGCAACAGAATCGCATGGTCCAACGCATGCGGCAACCCTCGATGCCGCCCGCGCACCTGCATGGCGATGATGATCGCCTTCGCGGGGCCCGAGAACTGGCCGCACAGGCTCGTCTCCGCGCCCGGGTAGCCCAGTGACAGGCCCACGGTGCCGTAGGCGGACACGATCTCGAACAGGATGGGGAACAGCGCGAACGCGTCGCGGTCGTCCGCCTCGCGCGCCTGCAGCCGGGGGCCCTCGGCCACGGCGATCAGGAAGAAGCCCAGCATCACGTACCAGAGGTCGAAGCCCAGCTGGCGCTGGATGTGGGCGGCCAGCGAGTCCGCCGAGGGGTGGGCGGGCTGTGCATCCGAGGCGGATGAGAGGGTGTCGTCGTTGTAAAAAATGCCGAGGCTGCGTTCTTCGTAGACGTTGGTCTTGCGGATGGCGATCGCGTTCGGGAAGGCGGAGATGTACATCATCACCAGGAAGGAGACTTGCGTGGCCGGGTGCAGGGTCGTCAGCGGGGTGATGCTGAAGCCGGCGGTGCGGGTCGAGGCGATTTGGAAGAGGCCGTTGACTAGCCGGAGGCCCGGGGTGATGGTGGGGTTTTGCGGGGTCTGTGTTCAAACGGTTATTGATCAAGTAAGGGTGGAGGAGGCAGCGCAGGACTTGCCTCTTGGAGGGTGTAGAAGATGAGCAGGTCGATCGCGTTGAGCAGCAGGAGAACGGCCGACAGTCGCCACGTCTCCGCGCTGGGGAACAGCAGCGTGAAGCACCGACGCGGGTGTTCCAGCAGGTACTCCAGCTCGTCGTCCAGCGGGGACCCGTACGTGGTGAACTGCGAGAGCGTCCAGATGATGAAGCGGAGCATGCACGGGAAGCCCGTGTTGCCGACGACCACGAGGAAGGTCATCACGAGGAGGGGGAACGCCGCGGTCTGGAACGCATCCATCGAGTCCGGCGTCAGGGTGAACCCCAGGTCGTTGAAGGCCGACCCGGCCGTGAAGATCGCCCACCACGGCCGGCTGATGCCCGCGTCCGCGAGCACCTGGCTGTAATGGCGGTTCGGCAGCACCCACAGCAGGAACAGCACGATCCCCAGCACGTGGAACACCACGAAGTAGCACACGAGGATGACGAACAGCGTCTTCAGCGCCCGGTACTCGATCCCGCCCAGCTCCTCCTTCTGCGCCTCGTCCCAGTCCGCGTAGCTGGCGATCGACGACTGCCACAGCAGCGCCGGCAGGGCGTCGAGATCGTGGCACGACCGTTGGAGCACCGGCGAGTCATACTCCGACAGCGAGCGCCGCGAGCGCGTCCCGGACATCGACCGGCGATGGTGGTGTTTGATCTCATACTCGGCCTCCGAGTCACAGAAGGTGATGTGCGGACTCGTTGATCCCGCCGCCGCAGCGCCATACCTCCGGCCGGAGGAGTAACCGATCAACTCGGAGGTTCGGTCCTCGCCATCGCCCACCTCTAACAGAGGTTGCTCCTCGGCGGGTCTCTCAGCCGAAATCGTTCGAGGAACAGGAGGAGGAGGGGGAGGCCGGTTCTCGATCCCTCCTTCCAGCAGCAGGCCTTGATTCCATTTGTTCCGCTGCGTGCGGCATAGCACTTTGGCTTCATGGATAACGCCGCGGAACCGCTTGCGGAACCAGTAGAGCCGAATCACGACGAGCAGCGAGTTGATGAAGATCACATTGGTCACCATCGACACCCCCCAGAGGGTGACCTGCTGGACCACATGCAGTCGGTTGAGGTCGATAGAGTTCAGCCCCGTCTGGGTGGCTGCACCGGAGGCGAGAAGCAAGGCATCCAGGTACGACAGCCCTCCGGCCAGATAGAGAACCAGCGACGACACCAGCGCCCAGGCAATGATATAGATATAGTGATGGTAGCGTCGCAGGGGTGACTTGGACGGCTCGTGGGTGAGAGGCATGCGGTTTGGGAATGTTCTATAAGCCGATGAAGAGAACCCGGTATCTGTCGTCGATGGGAAAGAAAAAAAAATAATGGCGGAGCCAAAAAGAGGTGAAAAAGCTGTTCTTCCCAAAAGACACGGGGAATTAAATACCTCCACAAAAAAAGGCTCTCGTCTCCTTGCGTAGATTCGGGGGGAGGGAGTGGCTAGCAAGAGCCCACAAATGCCTCACGCAAATGCATGCTGAATATTGGATGATCGGATCGACTGTGCTGATTCCTACTACAACAGAGAAAGAACAAGGTATCAAGGAGCTACTAGGTAGCTATACTTGCTCCCAATCAAGCTTGGGCCAGTCCCACACTTTATATAGCTGACTGGTCTTCCAAGACATCTACCGTCGAATTCCTGGGGAAGTGGTTATCTTCCAAGGGGGAGGAAAGGGGAGCTTGCAGATTTTGCCATCCCGGTGTGAGGTTGCACCGCAGGAAGCCGGGAGGAAACTGCATTCAGGTTCAATGAGGATTTCCTCTTGCAAAAATTGGTTGGAATTAATCGCTCATAGTGATTTGAAGCTTGGCACGCAACCACTGACGCACGGTCCATAGGTTGGCTAACTTTAAAACCTTCTTTGGGTTTCTTCTTCAGCGTTGAAGAAACCGGATCGGCGTCTCACAATTGGCCGGGAATCATTCCTCGAATTGGGGACAAACTTGCTTGGGGGTTCCAGGGCTGGTGTGGCTGTTGCAGGAACCAGGGGCCGCGGCCGAATCGGTGAGAAAGTCGGTGGCATATGCGTGTCTGCGCCATCCTCAGACCTGTCAGGTGTGGGTGCGACCAAGGAATTGGTTGTGTGGCCTGCACTTGAGCGTCAGGCTGTCAGGTTATAAAGTGAGGTTGTAGTCGGGATGACCTCCTCCAATCTCCAGAAAGAAGGGTGGGTGCTGTTGCCTGAGGAAGAAATACACAAGCCCTTCGATAACTGTCATTTGACCTACTTGAGCTGTCTCGGTTGAATGCCATCAATTGCACTTACAAAGTACAAGTCTACCAAGATTAAGGCTTACGAGTGAGAAAGCGTATTGCAAGCAAACACCAGCATCATCCAAGACAAGATATGTATTGCGGACCTGAACCAAGGTAGACCACCCTAATCCAGCCGACTGTTTTTAAAAATTATAGATAAGAAGAAGATTATAACAACTCTTTCCGTGCAACCCGTCTCTGCACCCACGATCCTTCCACTGTCGTCACATCAAATCTAGCAAGACACACCGGAGGGCAAGTTCTCGCACTTGCTGCTGGTCTTTCCACCGGTGACATCGACGCCGCTCCAGGTGAAGTCAGTGCAGCTGCCGTCGCCGCAGAGGATGTAGATCTCGGTGGCATCGCTCTCGACGCTACCGGTGACCTTCTCCATCTTGACGCCGGAGATCTTGACGCCGTCGGTGGGGGTACCGGTGGGGCTGCCGTTCTCGTAGTCCTGCTCGATGACGATACCATAGTCGGTGATGTCGGAGATCTTGATGTTGGAGAAGGTGATGTCCTCGACCTCACCGGTGGCGTCGTAGACGGTCTTGATGCGGACACCGTTCTCGGAGTCGGTGACGGTCGAGTCGATGAAGGTGACGTTCTTGACGGTGTTGTCGTCGCGGCCGCCGACGGAGCCGATGGAGAGACCGTGGCCGCCGGAGCAAGTACCACCGGAGAAGTAGATGTTCTGCGAGGAGAAAAGGATTAATACCAGCGATCAATTGGTCGGTCCGAGGTTGTTGCGGCTTGAGGTCCTTTTTCCAACGCCATCTGTGGGAAACACATACCTCGCCCGAGTTGATAGCGACACAGTCGTCCTGGTTCTTGACGGTGGCACCGGTGATGGTGATGTAGGTACTCTCGCTGATGTCGAAACCGTCGGTGTTGTGACCGCCGTTGTCGTCACCGTCGCTGTTGTCGATGGTCACGTCCTCGATGGTAAGGTAGTCCGACTCGACGGAGATGGCCTGGACGGGGGTGTTCTTGATCTGCAGGCCCTTGATGACCGAGTTGTCCAGGGAGTGGGCGTAGAAGAACTTGGGCTTGGTCTTGCCGCCGTTGGTGCCCTCGCCGTCCCACCACTTGGCACCGTTGCCGTCGAGGACCGCTCCGGAAGACTGGGTGACGGTGATGTCCTTGCCGGAGATGTACAGGAGGGGTCCATCCCACTCCTCGTACTCCCAGGTAGTGGTGCCCTCGAAGGTGACCTGAATTGGACATGAATTCGTCAGTATGCGGTTCGATGGGAAGCACACTGGAAGGTGTGCAATCGAGAGATACTGGGGTTGAGGCAGGAACTTACGGTGGTACCGCTCTTCAGGTCCTTGAGGTTGAGAGTCTCACCAGCAGGAACGGTGATGTCCTTGAGAACGATGTCCGTGCAGGAAGTCTTACTCTCGGAGGCCTGAGCAGCCGAGGTGAAGGTGCAGGTGGAGCGCTTGGCAAAGTCCGAAGCACGGGTGGCAGGGGCAGCAGACACCAAAGCAGTGGCCAGGGTGGCAGCGCAAAGCAGGGAAGACTGGATAGAAGGCATGGTGAGAGGGATTTTATCTGATCAACAGAGTAAGTTCAAAGAGAGACTGTTCTGATCTACAGAACGGAGACAACGAGAGAGAGACAAGGAGAAGAACGAAGGAATGATTGGCTTGGATGAAGAAAACAGCCGAGACAGCAGGGCGACGAGGCCCTTTTATAAGTTGCAAGAACTTCTTGGTGGATTCTGAAGCTATCCATTTCCAAGTTTGTCCCTGAAGGTTTCTGGGGGGCAACCCGGCGAGGCTTGAACGGGCAGGCATTGCTAAGGCTGCTATCAATCTGTAACGGGCTAGCCCCTACTCAGAACGCTAAGTCGAGTGGGCCAACGCGGCATTTTCTTAATTGAACTTGGCTTTTAGTCGTGGGGGCATCGGCCATCCCTATGCGTCAGCTTCATCAACTGCGGCCACTCAATACGACTACTTCTGATCTGAAAGAAACTGTGTCAGTTGTGCAAACGTTCACAGTTGACGAGGAAGAGAGCGAAAGGAAAACCAGTGATCACTGATCCTCGCATGTTCCAGGCGGGAGAGAGATGGCTATGATGATCCGGCAGCCACAAGCGAAGCAGCGGAAACCGATCAGAGTTCTGTTCTTCCCGTTCGACCCACCGCAGTGGAAAACAATCAGGGGAAGTTGCTTTTCCTCATCGAAGCTTTTGGCGAAGCAATCACGAAACACCTCAGCAATTTCCGTCGCAGGACCCTCTTTCAAACCGAGCCCCCGGCAACGGAGACTAGACCGGAATAACACAAGCCCTACACAATCCGTTGGGAACTTCGTATAGCAATGATAGATTGATGTCGGCAATCCAGACCCCCGAGGACGAATAGCTCCGCTGATCCATGCCGATTACGAGGTCTGATTTCTCCACTGATCAATATTCTCAAGAGCCACCCGTAGCGAAAGCAATATCGATTTCATTTCGTTCGGCAAACCTCAACAGGGAGCAATCTACTCTCGCCTTGAAGAAAGGCACGCCAATGAGAGCTGTTATAGGGAGCACCATCTTGACCCATCGGGTTTCATTTGGCTCGCCGCTGGAAAACTCCTGGCTGAACTTCCCACAACCCCCGGTCCAATGACAGGTCACCTACAGCCCTTCCATGATGAAATTTCAGCCGAAGTTTGGACCCTGGAAATAATGCAGGAACGGTGCAGGGGAAAACGGTTGCTCTCGACCCATCCCGGCGTGCCGACCAGGCCACAGATGCTCTCGTCTCGAGGTCCGCAATCAATACCAAATCGACGAGTTCGAGTAGACGCGTCGAGAGATATAGTACTGCTTCTTATGCATACAAGCCAGCGAATTATCGTGGCCCGTGGAGTATCAAGTCACCGACCGGTCCACTGCGAAATGAATCAATCGAGCGGATATCACGGCTTCAACGGAGGGATTCACTCAGTACCAAGGTATTCGGTAGGTCGTGGACCGGTTCGGGGGAGATCAAAATCATGCCCAGAGAAAGCTCCCTCCCATCCCTGACCCCAGGCAAAGCTTGGAGATTGCTTGATTGTGCTCTGCCCCAATCACGTCGGCTCGCCGGTCTCTCCACCGTTGATCTTGTCTCAAAAATAACCCTCTCCACTGAGAGAGCGGTGAATGTGATTGAGAATAATGAAACCTCAAATATACCTACTCAATACAGAGGGTAACGTGATGCAGGGATTTATCCAAGCACGCCAGAGGCATGGATCACTTTCGGCTTAACGTCGGCTGTTCTGAGGGTCAGACACGCATGCTAAGCATCCAGCGAACAAGAATCTAGGTAAAACACGCCACAAGCTCCTCCAGGCTTGAAGAAGAATGACTTCTACGTAGCATGCACGATTGCGAAACTGGGTAGGGGTGAAGCAGTTTGTAGCATAAACGGCCGGGTATACGTACCACATTCCCCACACTACCCCCAAAAGCAGCACTAGTATCTCCGAACATCGGCCCTGCTAACCAGTCAGCACTCGGCCTTAAGGGGTCCTACCCCCGACACATGACCATTTCGGGCTGGTTGAGTTTCATGTCGATTGCCGGGCAGACAGTGGAGTGCTAGGGAAGTTCTAGAATTGTTGACGATTCACATAGGAGGTCTTGGGAACTTTCCAAGCACAACGGACACTGGCAACTCCGGGATTTGGGGTATATAAACACGTCATACCACTACACATATTACCTTAAATGCTTTCCCTACTTTCCCTGCTCTTCCTACTTCCCTTCCTCCCAAGCAACGTCTTTTCTTATCCCTTTCTCTTGTTAGAAAACAGTTATATGCGTGCGCCCCAACAGAACAACCATAGATTCAAGAACATTTCACCGCTAGCCCAACAACACCTAGGTTCGCTCTTTCATTCCAAAGCTCAAATCAGCACACCATCATCAAAGCATCAAACCCTCCTTCACCTTCAAGCAGCACAAATAGTCCCATTTACCAACCTACACCGAACCTCCAACCACCTAAACCCCCAACCCAAGAAAACTCAAGCAAACCCGAACCACTCCATATCCCTCTCCCCATGAATCGGCACCGTGTGCCCGACTCCAGTAGCAAAGATGCCCTGCAATCCCGGTCCCCACACCGTGGTCTCATAATTCGCCTCGGGGGTGCTCGGCTCCGTCGCCTGGGGCGCATCGTAGTTATACCCCCAGACGCCGGCCCACTGCTTGACGGTCTCATAGTAATTCTGCGGGTAGAGGGTGGTGTCGACGCTGCCGTGGTAGATCTGCATGCGGGGGCGGGCGCCGGCGTACGCGGGGTCCATGGCCTCGGCGATGCTGGCCCAGTGCGCCGGGGTGGTGATCGACTCGCCCAGGGCGCAGGTGCTGTTCCACGCGTCGACCTGGTGGGTGGCGCTGGAGAAGCAGCCGGCGGGCACGCCGGAGTAGACGGTCGCGGCGGCGAAGAGGTTGGGGTAGGTGGCTGCCATTACGTTCTGGATCATCCTCGTTATCATTAGTGATGGTCTTGCGGTGGGTGGCGGCGTGGGTGAGGTTTGACGTTTGATGGGGATGAGGGGACGTACCGTCATCATGGCGCCGGAACTTGTTCCCGTCACAAACACCTTGCTGGTGTCCGCTTTGTACGTCGCGATCGTCCAGGTGACCATGTTGGCGATGGAGTTGCTGTTGCCCCCGCCGTTGTGGGTGAGCGTCGCCGGCGAGCTGACGTCCCAGCAGGTGCCCGAGTACGGGCTCTGCGGGTAGATGACAATGAAGCCGTATTGCTCGGCCAGCGTCGCGTAGGGCGAGCCGCTGTAGTACGCGGATGCCGTGCCGGTGCCTAATGCCCCGGAAGGTTAGGCTTTCCATCTGGAAAAGGCTGGGGACGGGGACGGGGACGGGGACAAAACGGAGGGAAGGCACAGACAGTAATGGATGGCAACAATGATTCCGGGCTTGGTGGCCAGATTCGTCGGCACGTAGATGTACATGCCCACGTTGGTAGGGTTGCTACCGAAGCTGGTGACCTGCTGTAGAGAGCCGGCTCGAGGGTAGACTGCCGAGTCCCGGTTCCCTAAAACACCAGCCTTGCATGACAGTGCGCACAGCACGCAGGTGAGCAGAAGTGAGAGGCAAAGCATCATTTAATGTTGTAACTTGGTCTCAATGCAAGGAGATAATGGTGAAGAAGTGAGTAGTTGTTCTCTGCATCTCTGAAGGTGTGTGTATATATATATATATACAAGCCCTTCACGGCTAAATCCAGACCTTGTACACTATCAACCTGAAATCGATCCGCGACAAACTCCACTTCTGCCTCTATAGGCCAAGTCGATAGGAGGAGGCGGGGGTTGTCTCCGTGAATCGAAACAGCCATGACTTGTCAGGTATAGACAGCAGGTGAGGGCTGGAGATCGACATTCCCGGGCTGGGCCCCGTAACGGAAGGCGTTAGAGTCTGACACGGGATCATTTGGCGTTTCAGGAACGCACCATGTGAAGTTTTTGAATAGCCGGGTTTCAGCCAAATTGGCAAAGTTGGTAGCAAGGATTATCCGGATAACCCCATCTCGTTGGTAGAGGTGTCGTGGTTGACATTCTGGTGGAGGGCTGAAGATTACAGGCTGCATGGCTGAAGTATACCCCAGAAATCGGCTTTACAGCCGGTGAGCGGGGTTCCAAACAGGCTCAACTCAAGTGATCGCATCGGTTTTCCTCGCCACTCAATCACAGTACGTCAAAATAGAATTCAATCGGGACCTCTTGGATAAATTATGAATCTCAATCAAATTAACAAACATAGAAATGATATTGAGTGATAAGACTGAGGAAACACCCTCCGAATGACATACCGAACAAGCACACCGAATACACAATTCATAATCATACGGTTATCACATTTAGAATCAAAGCAGAAACTTTTTCTAACAGATTTTGTCTAATCGAAAAACAACAGGCACGGCCACATGCCAGTAAATGCAATGCAGACACAAATCGAAAAAGAAAAGAGTCCATACGACACCTAGCTCTCTCTCTTCTCGTATGACATGGGCAATCGACGTCGTGGCTAGCCTGCAAGTTTCCCGCCCTGATAGAAACATCCGTAGCAAGGGAAGGACATCGTCAAAGCTCTCCGGGTATTGGAAAAATAAGAAAAGGGAAAAAGAAAAGAAAAAAAAAGACGTATGAATGCAAAAACAGAAAGAGAAAGGCTCTTCAAACCCTCCAGCGGAACCAACCAATCTCCCTAGATTCATTTCATGAGAACCCGTCTCCCCACCTCACTTCTTCCAGTGATGCTGGGTCCACGGTTCATATCATCATCTGTACAAGGGAATGTCGACAAGCCCCCCACTCTATCTTTCAAACGGAAGTTAGATGAGCGACCGATCTTGCTGGCGAAAAGAAAAATCATGGACGAGAAGATTAGGATGAATGTTCATAACAGATCACAGACATGTCGTGACGATGTGTCAAAAGGGGAACAGTAAACGTAGAAATCTTTCCAGAAGAACGAAATCATTTTTGTATTGTCATGGCAAGGGATATCTATGAGGCTTCCTCGCCGGCAGTAGAGGGAGTCTTGGAGGGTCGGCGCTCAACCGCGGGTTGCGATTTGGTCAGCAGAGGGGAGGTAGGGTTCGATGGCGGGGAGGTGGCCATGTTATCCCGGTCTTCCAAGGCAGCCAGAGCACTGCACACTTCGTTAGTATCAACTAGCCAATGATTCTAAATGACCACTCACCTGAAAGCGTTGATCGAAGTAACTTCCTCCTTCTTGCCGACAGGGGGAGTGCCAGTCCGGCTGCTAGCAGCACTATCATCACTACCACGAACCAGGTTGCCACCAGGGCCAAGGTTCTTCCGTCCGCTGTTGCTGCGAGATCCCAGCATGCTAGAGGGTCCGAAAGACATCGGCTGGTTGGTGTTGCGGGTCGTCCGCAGACGGCGGAGATCGTCACTGCCGACCTTGCTCGAGGCAAAGTCCTGGGGAGGAGCTTGGTTGCCGTAGTTGCTGTAGCTGCGGGCGTCACCACGACCCAGTCCCGGGCGGCTGCCGCGGTTGGCCTGCTGGCGAAGACGCTCCATCTCGGCCTCTTGTTGGGCGCGAGCAGCCTAGTGGGATAATTAGCTGGAGTTTAAAGAAGAAAAAAAGGGAGGGGCTGTAGGACTTACCTCTTCACGAATCTGCTGGATAGTCTTGGGTCCCTTATCGGCATCCTTGGAGTGCCAGCGAGCATTACGCAAGTCGATGATATCCTAGCATGGAAGTTAGTCAAGCTGTAGCGATAGCAGGCACTCGTCTACGTACCATCAACATGAAGCGCAATCTGCTGGGCAAATCAGGAGTCTGCATCATAAGGCTGATGCGGTGGAAGTAAGCATCCATCATCGCGTGTCCACGCTCCGAGGCGTCGAGGCTAGCACCGATGGTGCGCAGGAGGCTGGTCAAACTCTCAACCTCGGCCTCGTCGGGCATACCCTCATAATCGACAAGCTTCTTCACACACTCGTGCATGATACGCTCAGTCAACATGCCCAGCTTGTACAGCTCACCAATGAACTTGACGAGACCAAGACCACGACGCTTGGCAGCAGCGGCCTTATAGTACTCATCAGACATCATAGCAGCTTCCTCCGTCTGGCCCTCAGGCTTAGGAGGCAGGTTGACCTTCCAACCACGCTCGAACTCCTCTTGACAACGGTTGAGGAGGTACTTGCGGAACAGACTGCCACCAGCGACGACGTTGCCGTTCTTGTCGTGGATGTTCTCGTCCTTGATCTCGGGGCTCATGCTCTCCAGCATACTCTTGCAGAACTTGGCGTAGATGGAAGCCCAGTGGGCCTCGTCAGTAGCCTTCTCGAAAGTAAGCTGGATGACCTGGCGCAGGGTGCGTCCATCCGATTCGTCCTTGGATTGGGAAACAATCTCCAAGATCTGGCCAGAGATACGATCGAAGTTCTCGGGCGTCATCTTGTTCAAGGCAGCCTTCACCTTACGCTGCACCACATCAGGAGGCATGTGAGTCGAGCCAGCAGGAGTAGGACCAGCAGTGGTAGTCTGACCGACACTGCGGGGCTTCCATCCGGTGGTGGAGACCTGGAGGGCCTCGACCTCCTTGCCAGCGGTGAGAGGCATGGACTTGGCCATGTCCTCCTCCTTCTTGGCCTGCTGCTTGTCGCGCTTGCTGCTGTTGCGAGTACCGGAGCGGCCAGAGCCGGGACGAGGCGAAGGCATGCCAGGATGCATAGGGCTAGAGTTGGTGCGGCCGATGGCGCCACCAACGCTCAGACCGCGACCAAAGGAGCCGAAGGGGTTGCCAACAGCGGAGGCTTGGCGAGACATAGCAAAGCGCTGCTCGGAAGTAGTGCCTGGAGGCAGGCTGTTGCGGTTGCCGGGCTGGCCGAAGTTGCCCATTCCGGGGAAGCCCTGACCGATGCCGGGGCGAGAGCTCTGGCGGCCGCTGGCCATCGGGGTGCGGGCCGACTGGGGACGGGACGAGTCACTGTCACCGACGGTCTCACGCACGCGCAAGTCCCAATCAATCGAGGGCTTCTCCTTGAACACATTCTGGAACTGAAGCAAGAACTCCTTGTTGTAGTGGAACTTGCGATCGGTAGGAGCGTTGGCATTCAGGGCAGGGTTGGGAGAAGCAATGGACTCGGGGTAAGTGATCTTGCTGAGATCCTCGATCAGGCGAGCCGAGTGCAGAGACTTCATGGCAGCGCTGGGCTGAGGAGGCTCAACCGCCTTGCTGGTCTCCAGCTTGAGAGCAGCAGGCTTCTGCTTGAGAGCACTGGCGGGCTTGGCAGGAGGACCCATATCAGAGGCGGGCGTAGCGGTGCCGCTCTCGGTGCTAGTCTCGGTTGCAGAGAAACCACCCTTCTTCAACGAGGCGAAGAGATCCTTCTTCTTTTGATCCTCGTCGGTGACAGCGCCGGCTTCACGCTTCTTAGCCTTGGCTTCCTCAAGAGCCTCAGCCTCACGCTCAGCCTGCTTCATGTTGGCTTCCCACGCCTCGCGCTCCTCCTTCTCCTTGCGCTCCTTCGCCTCCTTCTCGGCTTGCTTCTTGGCGTAGTAGGCAGCCTCGGCCTCGCGCTCCTTGGCCTCGATTTCGGCCATCTCGCGCTCAATGGCATCGTAATCGATGTCATCGTCATCAGCAGGAGCGGGCGCGGGAGCAGGAGCGGACTCAGCAGGCTTAGCGGGCTCTTCCGCCTTGGTCTCCTCTGGCTTATCCTTCAAGCTCAGCTCCTCAAGCTTCTTGCGGGCGGCCTCCTCATCAGCAGCCTTCTTGGCAGCCTCTTCCTCCTCCTGCTGCTGCTTACGGGCGGCCTCTTCTTCCTCCTTTTGGCGAGCGGCCTCCTCCTCGTCCTTCTTGCGCTGGGCAGCGGCGGCCTCCTCTTCCGCCTTGCGGCGCTGCTCAGCCTCTTCCTGTTCGATCTTCTGGCGGACAGCGTCCTTCAACTCCTTCTTCTTCTCCTCGTCGGTCTTGGTAGACTTGGACTCGGTGCGAGTGTGGTCGGCGCTGCTGCCGGTGCGAGGGGGAGGAGTCGAAGTGGGAGTCGCAATCTTAACAGGGGACGGGGTGATACGAGCCGGGGAGGCAGGAGCCTTTTCAAACGTCTTTACGACGCCGCTACCGGGGTCCTTGATGATGATCGGGCTCTTCTTGGCAGGGATGACGAACGGCGTCTTCGCGGGAGCGGGGCTGTTCGACGTACGGCTTCCGGTGTGAGCATGGCCAGGGCCGGGAGGACCAGCAGGGGGCTGGCCCTGGCCAAGGCTAGACCCAGGGCGGTCATTAGACATCTGCGAGGGCGTACGAGAGAGGGAGGTGGCTTGGGCGGGAGGCTGAACAGGGTACTGGTTCTGCATGTACGGGGCCTGGGGGTTGAACGGCATTCCGGGGCGTGGTTGCGGGGACGGGGGAGTCATATACTGGACACCACCCATGTAGCCTTGGGGGTAGTAGCCGTAAGCAGCGGGGTCGTAGCCGGGGTAGGCCTGGTTGGTTTTCATCAACGTTAGATATTGCTCAAAATTC